GATGGCAGCACGTATGCGACGCAATTCTAGCTACTTTCTTCAGAGCTGCCCCAGGTGTCGGCCCTCAACGAGCAGCTCCTCGCTCCCTTCCTGGGTTAGAGGGAACGTGGCTGCAGGGACAAACTCATTCCCTATTAGGCCCGGCGGCAGGCTGTCCCTTAGTCGCAGTGGTTTCTCTCTCGGCCGGTTACAGACCGCAAGAAACCGCCATCCCTGCCTGTTTCACTCGAGAAGCCTCGGAGGTGGGATGAGCAGCCGGCTGGAAGAGGGCAGTGGGGGTTTCCTTGGTCTTGGGTTTAGAGTGCCAGATGAGGAGAGGAGGGGTGTATTAGAGAATGAAGGGCTTGAAGATGACAACATGGAGGAGACGGGCCAGGAACAAGTGGAAGAGAGGGAGAACGGAGAGACCAGGGAGGATGAGAGAGACAGGCCACCAAATTATCAAGACGCTCTGTATTTTCCGGTGTTAATCATTCACGGAGAAGAGAGCTGCCATGGGGGGCATGACATTGACACAGGTTAAAAGAACCGATATGGTGTAAAGAATGTATGAAGTGGCTTTTAAAAAGTAGTGGCAGATTGACATCTGAGGTGCAGATAAGAGACAGGGAGATCGAGAAAGTTGAAGAAGAGATGCGAATTTTTACCAGAACCAGGGTAGAAAAGTCGAACCCAAAGAGACGGATTTGTGTCTCGGTGTAACACTGAAAAACATCTGTTCATGAATGTGTAGAAAGTTTTAGGGATTGAAATGAAAATAATACACATTGGTCATGTCATATCAATGTCAATTGACTTGATACAGACTGATCCTAAATAGTTCATACCTAGTAGAAAATACCAATAGGCATGGAACATCAGTGTCCTATATTGATCTTAATGTCCTATTATTGAAATCTCTGGCATATCATGTCCATAACAAACTAAAAGGTTAGTGTGTCCTCCTTTTGACTATGGGAGTTATGTACTTTACATGAAAAGCTGGGCGTCTGCAACCCGCATTTAACATTGCAAAGCAGTTTGTGCGACTCTGCATTAATGTGAAAAAGCCCATGCTGGTGTAGTATTATAAATCCATTTGTATACAACATACCAGTAGCTTACGTGAAAAGGGACTGAGATGTGAACTGCAGAACAGTTTTAAAATATAGCTACATTAGAAAGAATCGAAATTCAGATGGACAACTAAGGTTGAAGCAAAACCAACTGGTTCTCAGGGGGGAAAGTAAAAAAAAAAATTAATAGACCTAATAAAAAGGGATGGTAAAAGATCAATGAGTGAATGTAGGCTGGTGAATTGTAATCCCTCACTGTTTGACACTGTGCTTTAATCCACTGTCCTGGCTAATGACTTGTTTTAATCTCGTTCTTTTTAATTGCCTGGTAGAAGCAGGGTGCTTATGACTTCACTTATCTTTGCCTTAGAGGTTTCTTATGTCAGCCTCGTGTCTACTACAGCCAACTGACAGTAACAGCAATTCAATGTATTCCTCTTTATTACCCAGAATACACACATTTGCTTTTCTATCACGGTGGGGACCTTCCGTTGACTTCTTTTGGGTTTATACCAAGCTAATTATATTTTCTATTCCTTACCCTTAAAACTAACACTCACAAAAAGTTGTTTGCATTTTTAGATTTTCATTAGTATGATTATAAAACCATTGTCCTTTAATATTCTTGTTGGTATATCTATCCAATACTCTTTCATTCCTCCCTAGACTGTTAGAATGTTTAAAATATTGGATTAAGCTCGTGTCAGTGTAAAACAACTACTGATAATAGATATAGACTACTCAAGATACAAAGTAGTGCAACAATCCTCCACCCCATGTAGTCACATTGTTGATATGCACATAGAAGAGCAAACAAGCATAAAATATATGTGTAGCACAAGCACAAAGTGTCACCTACTATACAAGCAGTGCAGGGATCGAGTTAAAAATAAGCTGTCCTTGGAAACACTGAAGGAACGAATGTATAAACAGCCTTGCACACGGAGAGGAGGTTATTACAAAAAAAGTAAAGTCCAAAGCACACACCAAGAGCATCCCTGTATTGTTTGTAGAATTTCTGCTAATACTTTAACAAGCACTAGCATATCTTTCAGCAATGAGGAAATGATTACAGTGGCCATGACCATGATTCTCTTATTAATAAAGTCAAACCATTAACTGTGTGTTTACTGACTGCTTTATTATCATTATCATTATCATTATTATTAATTATTGTTTGACTTGTTACTAAATTTATTGCAGTAACTTGCCGGTACAGATGAACAACAGAAGATATTAAAAGAATAAAGACTGTACTGTACTGATTTGTATGTGATGTCCTTACCATCACAACAAATAATTTATGCAATAACTCATAGTCATATGTGTTATGATGTTTTGATAGAACCTGAAAGTCATAGATGCTTCATTTGACTTTGAATAATCCTTGGTATCAATTAATAATGCTGTGAAATTCTGGATTTAGTCTCAGTAACTCTAGGCTAATGACCAGAGTTGTTTTTAGGGTTGGATCGATGCAGACTTGGCAAACGCATACAATCTTGTTGGAGACATACTTAACAGTGTTTTATACAGTGAAATTGTTATGTATATTATTTGACTACATCATTGCACATGTTTTCAATCTCTTGTGATTTTCATGCCATGCTTAATGTGTGGCGAGTGACCACGTGCTACACTACTGGCTTAAATCACGTATTTGGCCAATGGTTCCTCCTAGTGGTGGTGTTCGCAAGAACCCCATTGAGACTTGTTTTACTAGGAAAAGTACAAAACGTTTTAAAAAACGAATACAGTATTGGTCCAAAAAACAAAATTGATTGAAAACATATTTCTCAATTGCATGAAATGTCTGGAAACCTACTTGTCGGGAATTACTTGTTAGCATGTCGTCGTCCTTCCATCCTCTCCCTCCCTCAGTTTATAATCTGGGTTTGAAGGACTGAGCAGCAGTTTCCCACAATGCAGCTGACAAATAATAGAGGGAGTAAGAGAGGCCAAAGGAGTGTCTGTGGTGGATATAAAAGGACACAATCCAGACCTGGTAAGTCAGACAACACATATTCAAACATTTCCTTCATTGAGGAATGAAATTACTCAGTTAATTAGATTGACATTTTAACTTAGTATAGCCTACATTGCAGGAAGACCTTATAAATGCTTGATTTAATAAAAAAAATAATTGCTACACACTGGAATTGAGTGTTAGGCATCAATTTCCAATCATCATGCCATTCCTTTGCTAGCTATAAAAAAAAAAAATGTTTAATTGCATTACTGAATTTGTTCTTTTTTATATTACTCTTAAGAGAAGTCAAGTAACAGTGCAGGCGCTCCGATAAGCTTTTCACTAAGCAGCTTGTTACCTCCCTTGAGCCTGATGATTCAGACTAGTTCTGCCATCAGAGATTTAGGTCACAGAGACACGAAGTATGTTGTTCTAGTGACAGTGATGAGAGCCAACTTTTCAAATACCCCTTTACTTATAGATATTTAGGACGGCATGCATTTGAATCTGTCTAATAATTGTCAGAACCAAATCCACTTATTATTAAACTGCTACACTTTTTACTTTAGTAGTAGGCCTATTTTTCAATGTAGATACGTCTTCAAATCAATGTAGTGAACAGCTCATTGAATATGTTAACCTTTTTTTTTATGTGTGACCAAAAGGGCAGGTTGTCCCAACAGAACCCATCAATAAACTATTTTAAACTGTAAAACATTTATAAAACACAAAATAATTAATGACAAAGCCTTTTTTACTGTGTAGTACTGTATAAATTTCTAACATCTACATGTGACAACTTGGCCCAACCTGAAATTCGTCTAAGCTACCGTCCTGAGAAGATCTTGAACTCGTTCAACCTTTAGTTAAACGGGATAGTTCAAATCATTTACTCACCCTCAAGTTGTTACAAACCTGTACGAGTTTCTTTCTTATGTTAAACACAAAAGAAAGTATTTTTAAGAATGTTGGAACCAACCAGACAGTTGACGGTAGGCACTGACTTCCAAAGGAGAAAAAAAAAACACTATGGAAGCTATGCTACCTGTCTGGTTAACAACAACTTGGATGAGTAAACGATGACAGAATTATTTTTATTTTTCTGTGAACTATTCTTTCAAAACTAGCTTTATTATATTGTTGACCCTTTTCTGTGTGTTTTGTGTTCAGTTGTTTACCCAACGGCCACCATGGCAAACACCGGTTATTCTTCGCAACAAATATATCCTACGACTGTTATAATTAAACAGGGTTTTAAAATAGTATTAATATTCGAATATTCTTGCTGGATATTTTTTTTCTTACTTTACAATCCAACTGTCCTTGGCGTGGAGTGAAGCAACTGTGAGGTGAAGAACCACAGGATGTCGAAGGAGCAGCTGGACTCCCACGCGGAGGGTTTGCTCTCATTGGCTGCCGAGCTGCACGGGAAGTGTCTGGATCAGAGCGCGCAGATGTCCGCCCTAGCCAAGCAGCTGAGAGAGGAGAGCCAGAGTCTCCTGGGCCAAAGCGAGGTGCTTCAACAGGACATGGTTGAGATCTGCAAAGCGCTGGAAGCTCTGATGGACACTAAGGTGGCGTTTGAGGCCAAAGAGAGGCAGGCTCGCAAACTAAGCAAACAGCTATGAAACACGGCGGGAAAATTGCTTGTCCAGCCATTCAAAGTGAATGAAATTTAAAATGACGTAGGCTAATGAATATTGTTTGTTTTTTTTTCCGACAAGAGTTCTTCAATTTTGTGATGGTGGTGGGGTAGAAATGACACAGAATTTAAATGTCTACCATTTATTTTAATCTTCTGAACACTCCACAGCAGACATTTGTAAAGAATCAGTAGGCTATTATTACACTGAGAACACCATTTTCAATTTGGCACGTGCTGCCAAAAAATACGGATACATATCCCCTTCACATTTTGCTCTTATTATATATATATATATATATATATATATATATATATATATATATATATATATATAGATAGTATATATATATAGATAGTATATATATATAGATAGTATATATATATATAGTAGTCAACATTTGAAATGGATCAAAAACTTTCATCCAAGTTATATTAATTTTGATAAAAAAAATGTGTATATATTAGCCTATGTATATATATATATATATATATATATATATATATACATACACACACACACACATACACATAATTATAATAATTATTGACTTCAAGGCAAGCAATTTCATACATGGCAAGCTGTGCTACTTTTATATCTCATAACACTCGGCACTGTCCTCAATTTCAACATAAATAATAATAATTTAAACTCAAATTAAAATTGTATTTAATTTATTTTCTTTATTTGCTAAATGTGTAGTAAATAAGATAAACCCCTTCAGGGTATAGAAGAGACCCCTTCTTCATTTTGAGAATTACTTTCCGATTATTCTGCAACAATGGGATTCCTGATTACTTTATTTTGATAATGGTTGATCTTATATCCATCATGATCTTAGACATGTCTATTGGCTCTCTGGACATATCTTTAAATGTTGTGTATATTATTGTAGCTACCACATCAAAGTACTATTTCAGTGGACAATGAAATAAAAACTCAAGTGTTGCCACAAAAATACGAAGTATTTTGTTACTGCTTGTGTTCCCACATAACTGAATGTACCAAACTCTGCATGATACTTCATGATTAGCTAATGTGATGATGGTCTCTGGTGATTTATCTTGGTTGGGATGGGCGATGGAGGAAGGGCTCCGTCTCAGCACGGCTCCACTCATCATTGCCCCAAACCTTCAACCTTGAGCTCTGGCGTCTCTGTATGACCACCACGGCCGTTATCAACACCCAGAAGAAGAAACTTACCCACACTGACCTCTGTGGAGAAAAAAAACAGAAGGCGGTGGTGCTCAATAAACAGAAGAGATTTATTTCTATTGCATGTAATACAAATAAAAACTGATTTTGTGTGAAAGAAGAAACACTAAGGTGTACTAAGCATGTACACTGATACCTGGTGTGGATGCAGCATCATACTGCAAAAGGTTTCGGTTACAGAGGACAATGCAGAAACACCCTATTCACAGGTGTGTTTGTCAGGCCATAATTAAATTATTTTGCAACTGGAAGTGTTTGATCATGGTAGTTAACAAGATAAAGCTCTTTTTGACAGGTCATGTGCAACCACCATGAGAGTTACTGTATAACCATGAGGGTGATAACCTTATGAAAAATAACCAAAGTACTAACCTCAGTACTGTACAGTCCTGTGTAGAACTGATTTCCAGTGTATGGATGAGCCCATGTCTTATTCTCTGCATCTTCACAACTAAAACAAAAACATTTCCAGCAGTGCACATCGAGATATCATTTTTCCATGATAGTGTCCCTTTAGGGGCTATATTTGCTACCAAATCATCTGAGAACTATGAAGCACAGCGGAGTATATGGTTCTTAAAAGGTGTAACAAAAGTCACACACATGTAATGTGGAAAGAAGAAACTTGAAATCACCTGGTAATGGAAGGAACATTGTGAAGGACAGAGAAACACAAGCTGTCCCGACCGATCTTGAGAATACATCCTGACACCAAGAGAAAAAACAGAAGTAGGCCACAGACTCCCAGAGACGTGTTGAGAGAAACAGTCCCCCTGCGTATACATGCAAACATTTCCAGACACAAGAAGGTAAAAACAACAATGTTAATTTAACTGTTGAATCCTACCTGCATGAATAAAAGAAAGTGGAATGTGAAACAAACATCTAAAAGGAATCGGAAAATTTTGAAGGACAGCAGAAAAGTTGATAGATTCACCTTCTCACATCCTCATCCACACAGCTGACATAGATCCAGTAAAGAATAAGGGAAAAGCAGTAATAGCCATGCACACGGCGATGGCTGAGACAAAATAGCAGAGAGAAGGAGAACTGGCGCCTTCCACGGTCAGAGCCTGGCCAGATGTGTTATAATGAACACTTCCATAGAGGATGCACCGTCCATCAAAGTGGCCCTAAAAACAAACAATAAAAATCATCCACCTTTGCACATGCTAAATATATGGAAACACAGGGATATCTAGGTCTCTTTCACAAACTATGTACAAGATCTCTGTGACACACACAGATAGCCTATATAAGGAAAGTGCTGTGATAACAGCTTTTGTCCCTTATCATGTGACTCTAATAAGCCATAATATGGTGCGAGAGGTGGCTGATAACATGATGAAAACTGTTTGAGTGAAAACACGGTGAGAGTTTGAACTGGGATCAGCAACATTGAATAGATATTATAAATGTATATAAAAATTGATTCATTTTCACACAAAAAAGCAAGAAAATTGTAGCCACATCAATAAACATGAATGATCATGCATTATGTTACAGTACATTTTAACATCAGCTGAATGTATAACAAAAGCATGCAAATACACTAAACAATGCTGGGTTGTTTGAACCCAAATTTGGGTAAAATGTGGACAAACCCAAATGTTGGGTTAAAAATGTCATTTCAAACTTCAACTTTCACTTTCAACTGTAAGTTTTTAACACAACATTTGGGTTTGTCCATATTTTACCCAAATTTGTGTTGAAACAACCCACCATTTTTTAGTGTGTAAATATGCAAAACATTAGCCATGATCATTTTAATACTTAAAACTTTTACAATTTATTTTAAATCACATCCCCTCCAGAGAGCTGGTTGTAGTTCTATGAGCAATTATGATTCATTTGATACATTTTATAAAAATGCTGGATTGTTTTAACCCAAATTTGGGTAAAATATGGACAAACCCAGATGTTGGGTTAAAAATGTAATTTAAGCATTTAACCCAAACACTGAGTTTGTCCATATTTTACCCAAAGATGGGTTAACCCAGCATTTTTTAGAGTGTACTTAGAGTGTCCACAAGCAATGATCAGACATTGTGTGTAGATGATATTAATAAATTGGTGCTACCTGAGTGAGTGTCATCCAGGCGGCAGCTATCACCCCACAGATGAAACAACCAGCGTAAAGGACAAGCTCCAAAACTAGCAGCCAGGGTAGTCCCATCATGAACATCTCTCACGGTCACTGTCTCACGGAGTCCAGCAGCTGAATGCCTCATTCATGCACTCTTCAAACTGCTGTGGCTAAAGCATGTCCTATGCTCACAACAATGTTGCTTTTCACAATGATTCCTGACAATTGGGTCGTCTGAGAATTTCACAGCATTGCTATGAGGTATAACACAAGACTGCATTCAAGTCAAGCTCGAGACAAAACATTCAGCCAGCCTGAAGCATGGTCATGATGAATCATTATTTACCCACAAAACACATCATTTTAAGATATTATGAATATCAGACATATCAATATCTGTTTAGAATGCAACTAGCGAGGAGAAGCATGCATGAGAATTTGCTTCTCCATTTCTGTGACCATGATTATACAGTAGGCTAATGATAGTAATTTGTTGATTATTATAGTGAAAAAACGGTTACTTATATTAATAATAGCTGACCAATAAGTGTGACAAGACTGTAACAAAAACCGAAATCGGTGAGAACAATGGAGAGGGAAAAACACAAAAACAGTGCGACTGGAATGTCTTTCTCCAAACCAATAGGCGGCGATAAACAATTATCAACGAAATTCAGTGACAGTCAGCAGAGATAACCGAATGACTGAACCTCAGTGTCGTCGTTGTTGACTTGTTGATCACTTTTTTCATGCTTTAAGAAGAACTCTAATGTGCTTGTTGTGTTTTTAGCTAGATAAATCAGACACTGGGCTCAGTCTGCCCATCACGTGCCTTTATCATGACGATCTTTTTGGAGACCTTATATCTCGTATTATTGTGCACTATATCCAGTGCAGAAGGTAGGAGGAAGCCCCAAAAATCAGCTTTTTTATTACTTTGCTTAACTTTATAGAAACATAATTTGTTACTACGTTAAAACTGTGACGTGGCATTATCCATCACTGTCATAAAAATAAGTAGTTTTAATAGCTGACGTGTATCAATGACACAAAATAACAGCTGATGCTCAATAAAGGTATTCTGTCATATTTTTTTTCTCTTCACGCATCATGCCTCACATTTCATGTCCAGCTCTTGACTGTCATTTTGATTAAAAAGTTCAAAGTTTATAATAAAATATAAAAAGCTGTTGTTACACCAACACCAATGAGTGGTGTAAACACACACAGATTTTTATACAATATCTATCTACTGAAATAGTAATATAGGTAATGATCATTGGGGCAAGTGTTCAATAAAACAAAATCAATACATAACAACATTTAAGTAGCAATAAAATAAAAAACATGGTGAAAAGTTTCCAATATGGTTTTGTGATCCAATATGGTGCAATATGTGAATTTCATATACAGAAAGAAAACAGTTCAAATCTATAGGGACATAAAGGTTCTTATAGTTGAAACATTCATCTGTGATATTTCAGTGAAAATCATCTGCTGTAAGTAGACACTTGTTTAAGATTGAATTGTTTTAGCAGATGATGAGATGGTGTTTATTCCTGGTGGAACAATGATGATGGGAACCAGTGCCGCTGATGGGAGAGATGGGGAATCACCAACACGAGCTGTGACGCTCCTGTCGTTTCAGATAGACAAATATCCTGTCACTAACTCTGACTTCAGGTACTTGTCCTTAAAAATATTGTCTCAAAACCTAGTGAGCAGCCTTTGTTTATGAGTGCACCATATGATCCCCAAATATACTTTTTAAACATAGAGGTTAATCTTGTCTATTTCAACACTTTGTATTCCTACTTCTTTTGTGTCTTCTTACAAGCCTGATACAACTGCTTCCGTTTATTCTAGGGAATTCGTCAGATTGCAGAAATATAAAACAGAGGCTGAAACGTTTGGTTGGAGTTTTGTGTTCCAGGATTTTGTCTCAGATGAACTGAAAAGTAAGGTCACTCAGAAAATAGAGGTATGAAACCACAGCAGGAGCAGAACGTTTTTCAAAGTGTTTAAATTTCCGTTCATTTACCAAAACACTGTATTTTGTACCACCCCCTATTCTCATGAAAATGACCCCATTCCTCTTTCCTAGTCTGCGCCTTGGTGGTTACCAGTCGAGAAAGTGTTCTGGAGACAGGTGACAGTTAACATTCAGAACACACAGCAAGCACATGAGTGGGGCAACTGTAACCTTCTGTTACATATTATAGATACTAAATAGTTTATCACAAACACCATTCCAAAAATCAGCAAACAAAGGGCATTCCCAGAGACAATGAAAGAATGTCCTGATACTGTTGTTGCATTTAAGACATTGGGAGATGATACAGTAAAAGTTGTATTTACTTAGCTATATTTTTTTTTACAGATATATACCGTAAGTTCTATGTGCATTATTAAAGTGCTTTTCTTCGAGATATTTAAGCGTAGTCTGATAATATCTTCACAGACATTTTCATCAATGTCACATTTTATAAAGATAAATGTATTACATGATATAAAAATGTGTTGAATGTTATGAATGTCTGTGGTTTAAATGTGTGCAGCCAGCAGGACCAGGCTCTGGTATCAAGGACAGACTGAAATCCCCTGTGGTGCAGGTCAGCTGGAATGATGCCCAAGCTTACTGTCAGTCGAAGAAGAAAAGGCTGCCAACTGAGGAAGAGTGGGAAATGGCTGCACGTGGGGGTCTAGAAGGCAAGCCAAAAAAGCCTTGTGCCTCTCAGCACCAAAATAACAGGACTTTTTATTCTTGTCGTGCAATATTGTTCACCTGTTATGCATCATTTTATGTATTGCAACCTTCATAGCCAGCACTTGTGTATTTCAGGGAGGACATACCCATGGGGAAACAAGTTTTTGCTGAACCGGACTAACCTCTGGCAGGTCAGCTAAGGGATATTCTTGTCCATTTCCTAAATGAGAAGTCTATATTTTGTAAGTTGTGAAGTCATCAGCCTGTTGGTGAATTGTAAACTCTTTGTACAAAAGGGCCAGTTTCCAGATGGGGACACCAAAGAAGATGGCTATCATGGGGTAGCTCCTGTAACTGCCTATCCTCCACAGAATAACTATGGTAACTATGTGCTGTTACAATTTCGGGTGTGTCACATGTTATCAACAACAATATACGTTATTCGTAGTTGGAGACAAAGCTACCTAGGTAAAAACTTACCTAAATGTTCAAAGGTTTGGGGCTGGAACATTTTTTCAAAAATGAGAAGAGCAACATTTATGAAATAGAACATTATTGTAACATTGTAAATGTATAACGTTATACCCTTTGTAACATTATAAATGTCTTAAGATCAATTTAATGCATCCTGGCAGAAAAAAAAGTATTAATTTCTTTTAAAAACAAAATCCTACTTACCCCTAACTTTTGAATTATAATTCTCTACTGTTGTTCTGAATTTTGAGAATAATATCCCACCTTTTGCCAGGATTATATGACATGCTGGGAAATGTCTGGGAGTGGACCTCGTCAAATTTTCCTGGTGCTCAGACTATGTACGTCCTGCGTGGAGCATCCTGGATTGACACTGCCGATGGCTCAGCCAATCACAGAGCTCGTGTCACCACTAGGTCAGTCATGCTATATCCATATCACTCAGTCAGCTTTTATTAGTGCTGCTTGTAACAGTTCCAATTGATCCCATGCAGGTCCATTAACAATTGGTAAAGCTTATGTTTATGTTCTCACATGCAGGATGGGAAACACACCAGATTCAGCCTCTGATAACCTGGGCTTCCGCTGTGCAATGAGCTCAAATGCAAAACAGAAAAGGACTGAGCTTTAAGGGCCAAATGTTCAAGACAAGTTGATGCCATTGGTTCATTATGGGATTGATATTGCATTGCTCCCGTGGAGACATAAACTTCTATAATTCAGTGTTTTTTTTTCCCACAAAATACTGTGAAAATCATAATACTTGTTCTCTAATCATTTTAGATATAAACTATGGAATTAAAAAGGAATTAAAAAGCAGTTGTAGTAAATAATACCATACATTTTTATTGGTTTGACTTTTTTTAGCATTTAAAAGGAAATAATAATTTACTTGTTTACTTCTCACTGTATAAATAAGAGGCTCTGATATGTTGTCATAGCAATAGAGGTCTATTTTTGTACCGTTATCAACATGGTCTTGAGGTAAATTGTGCAATCTAGTAGTTACTAGAGATGATGAACCCTCACCAAGTCCTGTGTGCTAACTTACATCCATCTCCTCAGTTGCGATAGAGAGCAGAATGACTTTTGGAGTGTTCTCAAATAAAGCTGCTCTGTTCTGAGTTTGCCCTTTCTTCACCCAGTGGCCGTAGATCTTAAAGGCACACGCGTCAATCATTTTGCGTAGAGGTTTGATGGCGTACGGGTCGCTGCAGATCACTTCCTTGGTCACGGGTTTGGCACGCCGGTAGTTGCAGTAGATGCGCATGGCGGCAAGTACGGTCATAGAAATAACCTGCAATGTGTAGGGTGACACTCAAAACCTCAGAGTCAATGCTTTCTAAGAAAAATCTTTTACCTTTACCTTGAACTTCCTGTAAGGGCTGAAATGACGAACTTCTGCCGCCCTGTACTGTTGGAAGAAGGGGTGATTGAGGGCTTCTGTCGCTGTATAGCGTAGTTGCGGGTCCACAACTAATAATCTGGAAATCTACTGGGAAGAAAACAAGTTGACTTTTTTTCTCCATGCAATTTTGCATAAGTTCTTTCAAAAGTGGTTGTCAGCAAGACGAACAGGACCACAACGAATTAAAACAACCAACACACACCAAGTCTTTGACAGTGTCTGAGCGGTCATCCCATTCCGGAGAGCTGAATTCATATTTCCCTGCAAGAATCATTCGAAGCATCAGCATTTGTTTCCTGTGCCAGAATGGTGGAGATCCAGCCAGAAGAGTGTACAAGATCACGCCAGTGCTCCATCTACACAAGAGAAGACCGAAGAAGGTTATGTAAGAATCAATTCACTGTCACTGGCAGGAAGTTTGTGTGTTTATGCGTGGTTTATGCACACCAGTGTTGTTAACTAAAACTGAAGCATTTTTGTTTTTCATTAAAATGGCTGAAAGAAATCTATAAATATTACATGAAAAACTTTATTATTACGGTCTTAAGAGGGTTTTACAGGCTTGGAAGGACATGAGAGTGAGTAATTAATGAAATAAATTTCATTTTTGGGTGAAATACTGCTTTAAAATGAACAATAAAAGCTCATTTAAAAGAATGAATACTATAACAGTATACTAAAACATCACTTATGCATACTTATTTTATGTGCTTACAGGTCAACGGCAGTCCCATAGCCAGGGTGGTTGGGATCCATGGAGCACTCAATGATTTCTGGAGCCAAGTAACCTGGTGTTCCACAAACTTCTATAGTGGTGAAAGGGAGGCAGATGCTTCTAAACTACAATATCTGCAATCCAAATACTTATATTTAATGGTGTTCATAAGAACTCACCATTCAGTTTTTGTCCATGCTCAATCTGGATCGAGAAACCGAAGTCAGTGAGTTTGATATTCACGTCATCATCTAACAGAATGTTTTCTGGTTTCAGGTCACGATGGATGATATTGTGGGAATGAAGATACTCAACCACCTCCAAAAGAGCGCGTATGATCTTTCTATCAGAAGAGAAAACTGAGTGCAAATAATCAATATCGTAATACAACAGCTACAGTGGATTAAAGTTGTAATGTACATTTCCGTTCAAAAGTCTCTTTTGCTCAACAAGGCTGCATTTATTTGTTCAGAAATACAGTTAATCATTATCACAATTTAAAATAACTGTTTTCTATTTTATTATATTTTAAAGTGCAATTTATTAATATGATGGCAAAGCTAAATTTTCAGCATCATTAATTCAGTCAGTGTCACATGATCCTTCAGAATTTATTTTAATATGCTGATTTGCTGCTAAAGAAATATTTATTATTATAATTACCAATGTTGAAAACTGTTGTGTTGTTGAAAACTGTTGAAATGTTGACTGTTGAAATGTTGAAAACTGTTGCTTAATATTTTTTAAGAAAGAACAGCATGTTTTTGTAACATTATTATAAATATCTACTGTCACATTTGATCAAATGAATACATCTTTGCTGAATAAAAGTATACATAAAAAAACATTGCACTTTTGAATGGTAGTGTATATGAGGAAATTAATAGTATAAAAACACTACGTATGTGTGACATAACTAGCTTTAAACCCATCAAGATGCACTGTTGTTGGCAACAGCTTAAAGCATTTGATTATATAATCTCCTTTTTAAGCATTTGTTTGTGTAAATACAATTATAGGAGAATCCACAATTGGATTATTCAAGGGAGCTGACCGTGTCTCTTTCTCACTTAGGGTGACTTTGTCTGTGAGGTAATCGAAGAGTTCTCCTCTCTTCATCCTGTTAAAACAACATTCATCTTTAAACAACAAAACAAAACAGTCTTGTCAAGGCCTATACGAAATTACGAAAGATAATAAAAACTAACTGCATCTGTTCAAGATATAAGTGTCTGGTCAAACGAAGGAAATATGGTTGATATTGTGCACATGCTTGTTTTGAGAGTCGGGCGTTTGTCAGAAACAGCCTCGTCATGGCAATGAGTTTGTTGTGGGCTCTTAGAATAGGAAGTGTCCAATCAGTATGCTGCAGTGTTAACCAACGGATAATCTCCACATGGGAACATTTAGAAATCTGCATAGGGAGCAAACTTGTAAATAACACAACAGTTGAGCAATTCATTTTGAGCCATTTTCTGCTGTAAACTTGACATTAAGTGGTTTGCCAGCAAAATTGCAAACACAATTCTATAGTTTAGTGGGTTTTTGCAATGACATTTCAAAAAGTTTGCCAGGTTTGTTTTATACTGGCTCAAGTCTATAATATTTTGGTCCCTAGATATAGCTTGGGTCTCTGAATAAGACCACTAACAACAGTGAGACACAGACATGAGAGATGGTGTGTGTGTGCCATACTTACAGATCAAATACCAAAAAGAAGAAGGCCTTTGACTCAAAGCAATCCTTCAGTTGAACTATGGGGGAAAAAAGACTTGTAGAACCAAAATAGCCTTACAATTGTGAAAAAAGTAATAAATTAAAAGATATAGGATTTTCTGTTTTATAGCACCATATTATATTTGGTTGGTATTGTAAAAGTATCTAAGGTATCAAGATGAACTTCCACTGGACAGTCATACTTATGTTTTTTTGTCCAGACACTTTTCGAAGAATGTCGATCTCTTTCACAGTGGCCTGCTGGATTTCTAGTATTTCTTGAGGAGTCATTTTGTCTGATGGTGTGATGTCTATGATCTTTACTGCATATTCTTGGGAAGTCTGTTTGTCCACACATCGGCGAACCACACTGCTCACACCTCTGGGAGAAAATACATTCAGATAAATTCAGGACTGATATGTAGGCTAATTATAATTTTAAGGTAAGAATTTCATTGTTTGTTATTTATTTTATATTCTTAAGCCACACAAACGTAATCAATATTGGTGATTCCTACCTTCCTAAGATCTCCTTTGGTTCATATTTGTCATAAAATTCCTGACCACCAACCCATTCAGGGTTTTCCTCCTCTTTCGTCATTCTGACGAGAAACCTAGTACTTCAAATGCTTTTTCCTTTAAAAGTTGATTATCACACACAAACACATTCATCCATGTTTAACAATTTTGTAATCAATTTCAGGTTTGTTTGTTTTTTTCTTCATAATTCGTAATTATTTTGTGTTGTTTTAGAAAGCAAACCAGCGCATTTTATTCTTGAATGGCTGAGTTCACTTACCTAGCGCTTCGCCCTTCAGTGTTTATGGCGCGAGTTGCAGCTCGCTCTTTTGCTGGTCCATAGACTTCTCTCAGCCTACAGCACCACCAAGAACAAAATGCTTACACAACCTTGATAGTGAACTAGCTCTCTGTCCAGAAGCGCAGGCTAGCGATGTCTGTTTCGTTAATGAATCGTTGTTCTGAGTCAGATCATTTCAATGAATCAGTTGAACCGGTTCTCGGTTTGAACATTTCTTTCGCGAATCGTAGCTGCCAACGGATGCAGTCAGTTCCACATCCCTATCCTCTGTAATAAATGCATATAAGTTTTTTAAAAGGTACTGTTCAAATGTTAGCTTATAGTTTTATTTGTATTCCTATTTTTACCTAATTTTAACGTGTTTTGAAATGTTACACATGGATTATGCTTTCCCAGACTAGGCTAATAACTGTACATAAAATACATAATACAGTCTACATATACATAATATGTTCGGTTCAAGGATTTGATTATCTTTACATTTTTATATTGTAATATATTACAAATTTGCATTGAAATGTTATCAAAGTATACATTACAAATGTTAAGTATTTAATTCAAATTAAAGTTCTAATTTTTATTTTCTGAATCACGGAAACATACACATCGAATTATAACCTTTATTAATAAACTTTAATACAAACAATGAAAACGCTATTATTATATATTGAGGTAGGCTAATTTAAAGGGAATAACGTAAAAGAATCACTGAATCGTTTCTCTTTTTTTGGTTCGATTCAAACTAGTCAACAGAACCGATTTTGGGAAACGAGTCGGAGTTCCCATCTACTAGGGCCAGGCTTTATAAATAGACCAGCTGTTATTTGAGAATGGAGGGCATAGCTAAACGGAACAGCTTGTGCCCATTTGTTTACTTTAGGCAGATCTGATAATGTTAACAGCATTCCATTTAGCCTTCATGCAATTTCTTTCTCTCACTCTCTCATTTGAGACTTAATGATATGAGAGCCTATAAGTGTGTTGTTCAAAGCTTAACATAACCAAAGGGCGTTATCCTTTATTCTTCCACAGACGTGCCTGAACACGCACGAACATTTCGTCATAGCCTATTAATCTGCGTAGTGTTATAAAAGTCACCGACCTATAGGCAAAACCCTCTGTGATGAACCTGGTGAGGATTGTTGACGCACACGTGGTTATTTTTGAGCGTCAAAAAGCAGGAAAAACTGGTTTGAAGACATTCTCTCTTCTCGGTTTCAGTCGTCTCTCCCATAATAAGAACATGCTGCTTAGCTTTTATCGCTATTAGAAGATAATGGATACCTATAGGAGAGGTTCACTTAGTTTACACACACTCAAGGACCTCCTGGAATCTCCTCTCACAACTGAGGAAATGCACAAACGATTAAATGACGACAAGGATTCAATTTCAAGTCAAGACACTAACATGGACAGAGAGTCTAACAGTTCCCCACTGTCCACACTGGATGAGGGACAAGAACAG